GGATCAGCACCGGCCGCGCGGGGCCCCCGCTCGGGCTGGGGGGGAAATGGGGGTCAGGGGGGCAGGGGGATCCCTTGCCCCAACCCTGACACCCCCCAAATCCCCAATTCTACCTTCCCTATCCAAATCCTGACACTCCTCAGCCCCATGTCTGCCCCTAAATCCTGAGACCCCAGCCCCATTTCTGTCCCTCCACCCCAATTCTGATCCCCCTCCTATCCCCCATTTCTACCCGCTCATTTCTGACATTCCTCAATCCCAATCCTGCTCCCCTATCCCCAACCCTGATCCCTCCACAACAATCTGGAACTCCAGCCCGATCCTGGCCCCCACAAATCCCCAATACCTGGCATATTCCAGCTCGAATCTCTCGGGCATCTGGAAATCCAGCTGGATGGTGCCGCACTGATGGTGCCGCCCCAGAGCATCCCGGATCTGGATGTCAATCTGTTGGGAATAAATGGCAGGAGAGGTTCCAGAAAGGTCCTGGTTTGCCCCCTTCAAGGATCCTGCCTCCCCAAAATGCCTCACCTTGGGCCCATAAAAGGCTCCATCCCCCGGACTCAGCTCCCAGGGCTGTCCAAAATTCCGCAGGCTCTGCTCCAGCTGCTGCAGGGGCGGGTTGGGAGGGTCAGGGGGACACAGTGCATGGGGGACACGATACAGGGGGCTTCATCCCACCTGCTCAGCACGATCCCAGGTTTCGGGGTCCCCGAGGAATCCATCGGGACGGGTGGCCAGGGCCAGGCGGAAGGAAAAGCCCAGGACGGCGTAAACGGTCCGGATGAAATCCAGGGAGGAATCGATCTCGCTCTCCAGCTGGGAAAGGGGTGTCAGGGGGGCAGGTGATATGCTCTGGGGGGACAGGGAGGGGTCAGGGGGACAGACACCTGCTCCAGCGTGCAGAAAATGTGGGCATCATCCTGCTGGAAGCGCCGGACACGCGTCAGCCCTGTCAGGGTCCCGGGGGGCTCGTTACGGTGCAGGACCCCAAAATCTGCCAGGCGCAGGGGCAGCTCCCGCCAGGAGCGCGGCCGGTGGGCAAACATCAGGCTGGGGACAGACAGACAGACAGACAGAGAGACAGGCAGTGCCCCCAGGAGCCCCTCAGGCTCCCCAGGGCCACCTGACTCACCAGTGGGCTGGGCAGTTCATGGGTTTGAGGGAGAGGGTCTCAGGCGTGGCTGGGACAGAGAAGATGTTGGGGCTGTAGTGCTGCCAGTGCCCTGAGAGCTCCCAGAGCTGGGGGCTGAACAGGTTGGGGGTCACCACCTCACTGAAGCCCCTCGCCCGGTACTCGCTCTGCGGGGAGAGGATGTCAGCTCAGCCCCACAGCATCGGCCATGGGGGCTGCAGGGACCGGGAGGGGCCAGAGCTGTGGCCACCGGGGCAGGAACTGTGGGGCAAGTGTTTGGAGAGACGGGGTGCAGGGCAGACAGAGCGGTCTGGGTGTGTGATGACAGGGACATAACGGGTCAGGGGAAGCCGCACCCGGATAAACTCCACGAGGGTGTTGTAGACGTGGGCGCCGCGGGGCAGGAAGAAGCAGCTGCCGGGGCTGAACTTGTGGAAGAAGAAGAGCTCCTGATCCTGCAGCAGGGAGGGCATTACTGGGGGGATCTCTGTGGCTGTGAGAGACCCCCAGCCCTGGGCAGGGCTCACCTTCCCGATCCGGCGGTGGTCCCGCTGAGCCGCCTCGTGCTGTGCCCGCTCCCACTGCTCCAGGTCCTGGGCACTGGGGAAGGCCACGGCAGCCACGCGCTGGAGGGACTGGCCCCCAGCCCCCCCCCACAGCGCAGCCGAGCTCTGTGGGCACAGGGGGACATCAGTGGGGCCGGGCACCAGGGACCCCATCCCACACCCACTGTATGGGGGGACATCAGTGGGGCCGGGCACCGGGGACCCCATCCCACACCCACCGTGAGCACACGCAGGGCTCCGATCAGCCCCGTGTGCCGGAGCAGGGGCCCATGGCAGAGCTGGAGCAGGGGGCCGCACCTGGGGGATGAACGGATGGATGTGGGGACAGCTGCAGTGACCCACGGCCCCCCCATGTCCCCCAGGCTCACCGATAGACCGTGGCCGTAGGGGATGTCACCTCCTGGAGCTGCTGCAGCTGGAAGGTGTTGTGCTGAGGAGGGACAGCAATGAGCTGAAGGGGGGCTCGGTGATATTAGAGGGGTGACAGCTGTGCTGGGCCAAAGGACCAAGGTGGTGACAGCGGTACAAGGGGGGGTGACACCGATCCCGATCAGCATCACCGCGGTTGATGATCCCAACCAGGAGGGGCCCAATATCCCCAGGCTGGCCTCCCACACCCCACCCTAAAGTGGGATGAGGACGCTCTGGGGAGGGGGTCGCACCTTGAGCAGCTCAGCCAGCTGTTGGCAGGAGGCCTCGAGGCGCTCGAAGCGGTGCCGGGCACGGGCGAACGTGGCACAGGCCTCCTCCAGCGCCGGCAGCTCCGCGCTCTGCACCGTCCTAGGGACACGGGGACACGCTGG